CAAGTTATAAATTTCTACGTAATAGAGAAAAAATTTATTCGTAAAGAAAATGAATTCTTGCGTTAAACAGTGTTTATAAAGTGACTGTTATTTTACGTTTATTTTACAATCAAAATATTTTACATATTTTCAAAACAGTACAAATTTACGGTTAAATGTAAAAACATACAATTAGATAACGTCAGTAAAAAATGATTAAATAATGAGTAACAACGTAGTTTTTTAGTGGTAATTTACCACCACATACATATATCAGTTTTTTCAGTCAGGCTGTACCTCGTTTCATCCAGATTGTGTTTTAAAAGAGAAAAGTTCTGCTTTATTTCTTTACAAATGGACATATTTTGTGTGAAAAAGTTTTCAGTTATGGGCAGCCCGTATCCACCCAGTTAATTTTGAACTTGAAGTACTAGGAACTTTAAGCATTACTGTTTTGTTTCCGTGGTTCTGCTCAAGCAGAAGAAATACTGAGACATGAAAAATATACATCTAATGGTAGAGAGCACAAGTCGAACATAAAACAGTTTCTTTTAAAATCCTATATATCCGAGTAAAAAACTTCGACAAAGAGCATTACAGTATATATATCAACCAATAGAAAAAGAGCAAGTTTTTGAAGGAAAGCACTAGAATGTACAATTTCTTGCAAAATCGTTCCTTCCATGACTCGAATTTCTGTCTTGGTTTCATTGCATTTGTAGTTGGCAAAAATGCAATTGCACGAGAATTTGGTCTTTGCCGAATTTGTCTTGTACTAATGCCAATGTTAAGTGGAAGATGCAATGCTCAATTCACTTTTTTTTATCTTCCTTATTATAACAAAAATAAGCAATACAAAATAATACAATAAATACGGGCGTTTCACAAATACGGCGCTTTGCAATGCTAAACCTGAGCGACCTGAATGTTTTGTGGCATGCTAATCTACTCAAACTCCTTTTTTGAAGAAATTTGTATTTGGAAATTTTCTTCCTTCAGCAATAAGTCAAACCGCGCTTTTCTGTAATACGTGACTTTCTGTGCTTCACGGGAAAAACGTTGAATCGTGTATATTCGATTTATTATACACTATATTATAAACAATAAATTTGTGACTAATGCAGAATTCGAACCCACCTTCGGATATTCAAATGCTATACCCCTTGAACTACCGTGACTTTGATCCTGCATTATAAATGGGAAATTTATGTCACGGATGTTCGAAGTCACGTAGCTTAAGTGGTAGACTATGGGGTGTTTTATGCAAAGATAATAAGTGGTCCGAATCCAATCTGTGACACATATTGTTCAAATCAAAAATCATGTATGATAAAAATAACAGAAATGATCAAATAATAAAAGTTGCAATCATTAATATGTTTTAAAACTATGATTTTGTATAAACAATTTTTTTATTATTCAAATTTTACATTAAAGAGCTCGAATTCGTAAAACTGGGCGCTTGCGCACCTCCCTGTAACTCCTTTTAGCCCACATAAAATAAAATGATGATTGTTTTCTTTATCCAGCTAAAAACAGTAAACACTACAGGTTTTATTAAAACATAAATTAAAGCATCAGTAGTAGAGAACAAAAACCAAATGCTTAATGTGTGGTGTTTAGTGACCGTTAGTTGATTATTACTTGGAGATCGTGAGATGCGGACTGTTGTGACATTGGTTTAGAAAAACATTTTCTTTTTTGAAATGTTTTTCTATACCTACGTCACACCAGACCGCTTCTCACGATCTCCAAATAATTAAATGCTTAATGATTATGCAGTTCACCAATTCACTACATTATTATAATGACTTATAATGGGTTCGAATCCCTCTCGTGCCATTAACTTTTTTTCATCTCAACTAAAAAACCCTAATTAATTGTCATGTATTAATTGGTCAAGCGGACCACGAAAGTAGTGAATTTCATTATTATAATATTGAAATGCATATTAAAAAAAATATATCCTCTCTATGTCTGTCATTCTTGTCTGTCTCTTGTGATGATCCCATCTTTTTCTGGTGAAAATATCTTAGTTAATTTTTGAAAACCAAAGGTTTTTTGAAGTCAGTTTAAAGTTCAGCACCGGCTGAAAAATTTAGTTGCGTAAAAATAATAAAATTGTTTCTACAGTTCTTTGTTTTCTACATGTCATATATTTTCCTTGGAAATATAATATTTTTTAAATTATTAATTTCGAAGATCTTTCAATTAGTTCCCTGTACATCCTTTTTAAAAATTGTTTGTCAAAATTTGGCAAAATATTTTTCCTTCGTTGTTTTTTCTACAGTTTTGGACATTAAAGACTGACGAATATCATTATCATCTGCCAGACTAAGACAACCGAGAAAAGTTTAACGTCCAATAAAATATTTGGTTTTCGTTTTAAGTCTGATAATAGTTCGAAATTCCTTTCAGACCTTAAGTAAATCGCTAGTAATTAATAATAACTGGCGATTTAAACCTGGACAATGGAATACGACAAAAAATGTCAGCAACCAATAAAAGGCAAGACAGATCCCGTTCTTTTGTTCGTAAAGGGTTCTTTAGCTACAAAAGTTTGGTAATGAACAATCAATTTCCTTGAAGAACTAAGAGCACTTTCCTGCTATGGACGGAGAGCGGTCTTAGCGTACTTTTTGAACTTCTTAACTCTTAATCGGGGGCAATTTGTCGTTTTGTGCAAATCACCTTCTGCAATTTGTTTCTGTCGTCTCAAGATAAAATTATTTTAACTCGTTTATTTAAGGAAAGCTGTTTTGGTACTCGTCTTTTTCGACAATTGCTACAAAATTGCTTCATCAAATATATTACCTTTGTATAAATACTTTTTTTAAATCTGTTCATTTACACACGCTCAGCACCGTCTGACAAATTACTGTATAAATATTCAAGAAATTTCTCCATGGTAAGAGAAAGATCGATCTGAATGACAAGATAAATAATTCAACTGCATTCTTTACGTGTAAAAGAAACAATAATACGAGGTAAAAGAAATAACAATCAGATTTAATAATTTTCCCCAAAACCATTTATTCTATTTGCATAAAATTTTACGTGCGTGTCTTATAGATTACAAAATCTTCTGCCTAACATAATATTCCTAAGGTTTATATTTTCCATTAGACAAAAATTTGATGTTTAGACACAAACTTGTCAATTTTTTTATTTGAAACTTTTTTCTTCATTATGTTTATAATTCCTAAGTGATAACAGTTATATTTACATATTGATGCTTACATAACAATCGGTGAAAAATGTCATTTTATATGTTATTTTTCAGTAAGCAAACTTTCGTGCCTGATAGATGTTAGTGTGTTCCAATTCAATCTTCGACTTCTTTCCAACATTTCACCAACAAACAAATATTTACTGATTGTCATCCATATGCCAACACTTTACTAGAAGCTTTTAGACTTTATTTTTTGCTTCATTTGCATGCTATATCTTCAATCAACGACGGCAATATTTGCGGGTGTTCAATTTTCTTGCTCCTCGAACCGTGTAAATTATTTCCCCAAGTTCTCAAAAATTGTGCGTGCAAGCAATCACGTCCAAGAGGCTAGTTAAAAAAGACCGAAAATGAAACTGCAAAGGAAAAAGAAAGTTAAAAGTTTTGTACGAGAAAGGTAAAATTGAGCCCCATCATATATAGCACTGGAAGATAGTAAAAAAGTAATCTGTATATATTTTTAGTTTTTGAAATCAGCCTAAGTGCACCGCTGAAACCAAGTGGTCAACGTGAAAGACTCTGGAAGACCGTCCTTCAATTCTCACCGTCGACCCTGGCTTTTTTTACGCTACGTCGCCCCCCGTAAATAAATATATGTTGTACTACAAGTGCTCTAGCTAATATGCAAGGACACAGGGCCATTTACAAATATAAAAAAAATCCTACGAAATTATCAAAGTGTTAAAAAAATATTTTTATGAGAAAACAGAATGAAAATGAACAAAACGGTGATATTCCTTACATGTATTTGCGAAACAATGAAAGGCAAATTAATTAATTAAAAATATACGTCTACCGCTCTGAAATCATTGGTTAGAAATGCACTAGTTTTCGTGGTCCGCTTGACCAATTAATATCTTTCAATTAATTAAGGTCACGATAGCTCAAGTGGTAGGGCAGCGGCGTATCTAGCCGAAGATCGTGGGTTCAAATCCCGCTCGTGACACTTACTTTTTTATCTCAACTAAAAACCTTAGTTAATTGAAAAAAATTGGTTTGAAATTAACTTGGACTATAACACATTTTTAGTTTTAAAAAAATGTGCTACAACCATAACCCTAGGTAAATTTTTAGGACTAAAACCGAAATGAGCACATTGAATGGACACACTTGATACGGCAGTTATAAGGTCTAATAAACCTATAGAATATCTGGTGAACAAAAACTACTTATTCAAAAATTTGGAAATGTGCAATGATTGGCAAATCAGTGGATCTCTAGGTAAGGAGGACAAACTTAACAGCCGCCTTGAAAACAATAAATACCCTCCATTGGAAACATATATACAACAAAAAGCTAGGAAAACGAACAAACTAAATGGGTTCTACAAATTTTGAAGCTACAGCAGTAAAAAATATAGGCGTTGGAAACTTGGGCGTGAAGAAATTTTTCCTGACCTAAATTACTTGAAAATGCGAATGATTTTCGACATGCGTTGAAATGTAGAGAAAATGTTTAAACGTTTTTGTTATATAAATACATTTTTTAATGTGAGAAGTAAGATATTTTAGAATTTTTACGTATACTTGTTTGAATTTAATTGGTATATATTAAAATTTCAGAGAAGAAATAAATTTGTGATTATGTGCGGGATAAAAATTAAATATTTAATTTGAAATTTTGTTTTTTCGCGAAGAAATAATTTCATTCAAACCTTAAAGAAAAGTAATAAAATTTGACAGAATTTTAAAAATCATTTAATTACAGCTAATATTGTTTCCTCTTATTTTATTATTTACTGATAATATTTATGTATATTTTACAATAATTTATGTGGCTTTCTTTTCAGTTTCAGATTCAGTGCTTCCAAGGTTTGCCGAACCGATCCCGAACGTCACAGTGACCGTCGGCCGAGACGCGCTGATGGCCTGCGTTGTAGACAACCTAAGAAATTATAAGGTAAAACTGGAATTTATCAAAATCAAGTAATCGGATTAACAATTAATCTGTCTGAATCTGGTTTCGCCTGTGAAAACAATTTGAGTTCGCGTGTCGCTTCATGAGAAACGGGAAAGGTGGGGGAGGTTGATAGAGTTACAAAGTGGCCGCCGGGGCGACGCTCAGTTTGTCTGTAGACACGATACGGTGAGGTTGTTTGTGAAACAATCCCCTTATCTGTTGAGCTTTACCACGCTTAATCCCTTAGTCGGCCCTATTTATTAGAACAACCCAAATATTGGCATATCCAAAAACGTATAAAATCTTTGAAACGATTCCCTCCTTGAAAAGTTCCCCCAGCCAAAATAAAAAATAAATCTTATAAATGTATATCAAATATTTATTTTAAATAATATTTTTACTTAATAAACCTAAAATTGTTCTTCACTTCCTAGCTGAGTGTTCAATTTTAGGAGAGATACGTCTATTTCACCTCGGGTCATTCACTCTCTCAATAGCCCAAATCATTGAACTGTTGAATGGTTCAGATCCCCGGGCTCTCATACGGTATGCTCGTACGCCAGGAAGTATAGATGCCATTTAGTCCAAGAATTTAATTTTTAATATCCTTTAAATTCCTTCATTAATACCACAATCATAAAAAAGTTAATGATCTCAACGAAAAACGCATTACTTATCGGTGTATTTGTTTATATTCTTTTTATGTTCTTAATGCATCTATATGCAGAGTTTTATGCTTAATTTTAATTTCCATTTATGTGTGACAATTTATAACAATCTGCGACGACAGACGGATTTAATTCCATGTTGTATATACTTTCATAATTATGTTTCATGATGTGCACAAAATTAAAAATAAAGTATTTCTATCTACCTATGACAAATAATTTGTCGTCGTTTTTATGCATATCAGAGAACGGCGATTCAATGGTGGTCTGACCTGATGGAACAAATCTTTATGATCAAAAGTTAATAGGGGTATTCACGATCTTTGTGTTAACCCCTTTAAGCCTGTTAGGTCTTGTTAGATCGAAAAAAAATAATGAGCTAGACTTGTAAGAATCGGCTAGTTAACATTGCTCGATCTAACATGGCAGAGCCAATGTTAGTTGTTAAATTCACTAATTTCGTGGTCCGCTTGACCAATTAATATATTACAATTAATTAAGGTTTTTAGTTGAGAAAAGTCAATGGCATGAGCGGGATTGAAAAATGGCAAAAAGAAGGGAACACTCAAAAGGTGGGGTTGAGATGGGAAGTTGGTGTCCGAGTGGATCGAGGTCACGATAGCTCAAGTGGTAGAGCAGCGGCGTATCTAGCCGAAGATCGTGGGTTCGAATCCCGCTCGTGCCATTGACTTTTTTATCTCAACTAAAAACCTTAATTAATTGTTAGGTGTTAAGTCGAAAATGTAGTCACGTTGCTTTCCGTTAGGGCTTAGGTAACCAACATGGCAACCATGAATTAAACAGCTGTTTTTTGGTTACACGTATTTTTATTTTTAAATACGTGTTAATTTAATCAAACCAATATTTGTTTTGTTAATTTCTGACCTCTCCTTATACTCTCATTCATACATCCCCTATCCTATAAAGTTGTAAGCTGGTAGACGTTAGGATACAAATTAGGTATGTCGGCTCGAATTAAAGTGTGACATTTGTTAGTACTTTTCGAGTGAACTCATTTTAGAGCTAGATGGCGTTTTAAAATCTAATGAGAAAATGAATTTTGCTTTCCTATGTCTTCTACCTATTTCATTTAAAATAGTTGGTTATATCTTTTTCTTATGTGGAATGGAAAATGGAAAATCCAGCACTAGATAGCGTTTGATAATTTCCTGAGACATTTAATGTTGATTCACTTCTATCTTCTTGTTATTTCATTTTAAATTCTTGTTTATATATTTTCTCACAATACTAGCTGAAAGGGGATTCTAGAACTTGACTTGATATTCTCTTGTGATAATTAATGATGGTTTCCTATTTCTTCTTACTATTTCAGTTAAAATATCTGGCTGTACCTTCTTCTCACGTTATCAACTGACTGGAGAATCCAGCACTAGACAGCATTTCATAATTTCCTGAGATTATTAATGTTGCGTTGCTATTTCTTCTTGCTTTTTCACTTATCATTTCTGGTTATATCTTGTTATATTACCAGCCGAATGGGGGATTCTAGAATTAGATGACGTTTGATAATCTAATGTTATAATTAATGATGGTTACCTAGTTCTTCTTCCTATTTCAGCTAAAATAGGTGGCTATATCTTCTTCTCACGTTACCAACTGAATGGAGAATCAAGCAGTAGATACCGTTTTATAATTTTCTGTGATAATTATTGTCAATTTGCTTTATCTTATTTCTATCTCAGTTAATTTTTTGGTAAAATCTTCTCCTCACGGTACCAAATAGACGGATGTTAGGGGTATTCACAATTTTTGTGTTAACCAACTCTGTTAGGTCCTGTTAGATCGAGAAAATTATGACATAGACATATAAGAATCGGCCAGTAAACATTGCTCGATCTAACAGGCCAGGGCCAATGTCAGATGTTAGGTCGAAAATGTAGTCACATTACTATCCGTTAGGGCGTAGGTAACCAACATGGAATCCATGAATTTAACAGCTGTTTTTTGTTAACATGTATTTTTATTCTTAAATATGCCTAAATTAAATCAGACCAATACATTTCTTTTGTTAATTTCTGACCTGTCCTTATACTCTCATTCATAATAGATGCATCTCCTTTGCTATAAACTTGTACGCTGTTAGACGTAAGGATACAAGTTAGGTTATGTCGGAACGAAATGAAGTGTATCATTGTTAGTACATTTCGAGTGAATAGATAGCATTTTGAATGAAAGAGTTCCTTTTTTATTAAGTTCTTGCATCTTACAATTTTACAACAACAACAAGCCTTCAACGACTGTTATAGCTTTATATTTGGTTCTACCAATCGCTACGCGCAGCATTGCGGAAAAATTAATGTTTAACATGCTAAGGAAAGAAGAAGGCGTTCACGATCTTACTGGACATTTCTCTATTCGAGTTAACATCTTACAAACATCGTGAATACCCCTAATAACTGACAAATTTATTATGTAAAATACAAAAATATTACATATTGTGTAATATTTTTTTTACTTAATTTATTTTTATCTACAACTGTACATATATTATATACAACCAGCAGATTGGATTCGATTTATGTTTGTGGCATTACGGGCGTTGTAGAGAAGGTACCCATTGCCAGCCGCTCTGGATTAATAAAATGATATTAATTATTTAAGAGGTCTCTTATCCATATTCTTTTCAGACTTTTACGTGGTAATTGTAGGGAATGGAGTAGTCGTATTTGTGTGTTAGTGTGATTTTGTAATTTATTTTGAAAACGTCTGCAGTATGTCTTGATGGATGGAAAAAGTGTTAGATCTCTGTGAAGTTTGTTATTGTTTACGTGAAAAAGGGCAGAAACAATTGGTTTTAAAATTTTGAATTGAAAAATTTGCAATCTTTGAATACCGATTCAGTCCGATTAATAAGCTTGGTACCCGTATATCCAAATAGGATTGAGTAGGTGTGAGTTTGTCGAACGTTTTGATTTTAATGGTAATTTTGATTGTAATAAAGCATTTTATATCGTTCGTTGAGTGTTTGTTTTTTCAATTGTGTGTGTGTGGATTCCAGGTTAGTCTTCTATCAAATGTAAATGCTAAATAGTTAACTTTGTCGGATTGAGGAGCAGGTTCACTGTATAAGTATATGCTTGGACAATTCTCAGGACGGAGTGTAAAGGTGACATGTATTGATTTTAAGGGTGTAATATAAAAAATAAAATAAAATTTGCAGCTTGGTCGTATTTTATCATAATTGTCTACGTTTAAGTCTTGTTTTCATCTGTAAGACTAAAAACACTAATTACCTAGAAACGTATCAAAATGATCCCCTGAACAAAATAACACACAGCCAAAAAACGAAAACCATGTAAAAATGGCATTTCAGCTTATTTCAAACCAGTTTAAAACTATGATAAGTCCATCGATTCGCTTGTCATCCGTAACCTCGATGCAAAATTGGTCTGTGATCTTTTGTTCTAACAAAAACTATTTACATTTAAATTGATCGTTTTTAATAATTTTGGTCCGCCTGTACTTACTGCTTAGGTCTGTCAGACACTGCGGGATGTCTGCACAAATATTTTTAACAATTTCGATCAATTCATTCACGCTTTCAATAACATGAAACGTATAAAAAGAAGAAAATTGCGCACAGATCAAACCAATAATAGCGAGAAAATGGTATTGTGGAACACAAAGACCACTTGAAATATAAAAGAAATCTATCAATTATTCCATCCTTGCGTACAGCCATGGTCTCAGTCTTTTTTGTGGGAACAAATATTTTATGATATGTACCTCGGTCAATTTCCAATTTTTCGGGCTGCCGTTCATTGCTTTTTTAGTGACTCGTCAAAATTAAATCCTACAAATGATCTACAATATGTAATGGCATATGTAAATTTGGGCAAATAAAATTAGGACAAATAAATAAAAGTATCGATTTTTTTCAAAATATTGGGGAATGAGCAATTTTTTTCTCTCTATCTTCTCCCTCTTCTTTTTTCTCAAACGCTCATGCCACTTTCAAACGCGCGCGCCCGTAAATTCCTTGTTTTAATCTCAAGATTTTTTAATACTGTTCCAACTAGTTAATATTAACATCTTTTTACTTTAAATTTACTGCAGAGAAAATAGGAAATATGAATTTATAATAGCTGGTAAATATTGTTATTGGTATGAATTATTGTTATTGGAATGAGGCAGGTAAAATGTTTTTGATATGTGCGATGATCTTGATTTAATTGTTTTAAATGGCAGATTTCCCGGTGAATTCAAAGGTGAGTTCACATTTGTGGGTAGTATGGGCTCGTCCGTGATCTCTGCTGTGTTCCATTACAGTGCATACATTTGATTGAAGACTTCAAGGTGCTTTCCGAACCA